GAGACCATGTTCAGAGGAAGGACTTCTGGTGCAAACTGTGATTAAAACTACAAGATGAGACATGGTTGGTGGGGGAAGGACTCTTCAATCGCACCTCCGGCTATTGTTATTATTAATAAATGATCACATCTTATTTCCTGAGAGCAGTTGAGTCATCGACCCACTGTGGTGTTTTTTTTTTTCTTCTTCCAAAAAAACATGAGTGGATGAATGAATAAATGTGTTTATCTCAGTGCTCACAAAGTTGTGTAATACTTTTCCTCCCTTTGAGGATCAACGGTTTGGACAAATCTCACACAGCCGCAGACTGTAATGTTCAGACTTATCATTACGAATCACATCCTCGTGAACAACAAAACAATCTGGTAAAAAGTGAGGGAAACCGTTCACCTCACAAGCGCCTACAGCGACTTGTGCAGAGCAATATCCTCAGCATTCAAATTAACGTTACGTAATGTGACATTTTGTTGTTTGAGCGCAGGGAGCAGAAAAGCGCTTGTGGCAGCTAGAAATAAAAAAGGAGGGAAGAAAAGAAAAAGAGCTCAATTTAAGATTTTCATTTGACTTATGGCAACACAATCTGTCTGGTGATTGTTTGTGGCATCCGTGAAGGAAAACTCTCAGCTGTTTGCACAAACATAAAGACAAATCAAAGTCTGTTAAATGAGCTGCATGTCCCGAGACACGCCAACACGGCCAATTGTAAGACAGTCTAAAAACACAAACTCTGAACACTCCACATGTCGTATTGATCAGGTGGCGTTTGCAGAGTCCCTGTGAGGCAGCAGGACGGCTCATTTCTAATGCTTTCACTTTCAAGGCAGATAAACCCGGAGAACCAGCTCTTCTTTTAATGTTGGTACCATCAGCGAGGACATCGAGAGGGGCATGGCTTCTTTTCATTTCATAATAGTGACAAATTGCATTCATTTATGCATCGATTGCGGGCGAACACGAAGCGACAAGAGAAAGAGGAATCGCTCGCACAATTGCAGGGAATCCAATACAACAATCAGAGAGGGCTCCACTCAGCTCTAAGTTTCAGAGCTGCAGTTCTTTTTTTAACTAGGACTTTGTTTACAAAGTTAGATACGAACGTGAAGAGAAAGCAGCAAAATACATCGATTACAGCTTAACCAATTAGTCTAATCGTGAGCTCTTTGTCTCGATTATACGATTTGTTGTTGTTGGATATTATTAACAACAGCAGATACGTTGGATCTTTGTTTAAGGGTTTTTTTTATATGATTTTTTTTAAATTAGCGACACTGCTGTCGGAGCCATAAACGCCTCTTGACTGTAAAGAAGTGCAATACATTGTCAGTATGCAACTGCAATAACCACTGTTCTTATTATTGAATTTTATCTTTTTATATGTATGTATATTATGTTATATAGAGTTGTTTACAAACATTTTATATTTCTTTGCACTGAAAGGCCTGTACCTTACTTTTCGTTGACAACAAAGCGAATCTGCAGTTTTTCATCTGATAGTTTGTTAAAAAGTGAAAAACCGACTGAGGAGCATTTATTAACATCAACATATAACTGTATTATCATTAAATTAAGAGGATAAAGGTTCATTTTGGAACTTAGAAATGACACAAATCTTGTTATTATACCTGCAAATCTGTATGTTATATCCACTATAAAGCCATCAGTTGTGCCTCTATAACAAAAGATGCTTCATCAAACAGTGGGACTGTGGCGCCATTAGAACTGACATGAAACATACAGGTTCAGTTATTCAGGGTTAATCTCACTTTTGCTAAAGAAACTAATTAAAAAGCAAAATCCACTAAACTTTAGATGGAAAACTAGACTGTTTATGGGCTAAAACACACAGAATTAAATATGACTGGGCATCGTGTTGTTTGCATTTAATTATGTTGGAACGATGGAAGAAGAAGAATCAACAGTTTCTGGAGAATGTCTTGCATTCTGTCTGTTCGCGTGCCCGAGCAAGAAACTTCCGTTTAATTATGCAAACTGAGCTGATTATATAATCTGGAAAGTCTCTGTTGTAGGTTTTTAATTACCAAAACTTCACTGTCTAATTAAATGCCACAAATACCGTACCGGACACAGCTCGGCGTGGCGGCGTGCTTCCTGTAGACGTGTCCACATGGGACCAGAACCAGAACCACAAAACAACAGAGGGAGTGCGGGACATGCAGGTGTGTGCTGCTGCATTAAGCAACACAAAAAGTGCATTTTCAGTTTGAGGGTTTTTCTCTTCAGCGGGGCTAAAATCATTCATTCATCTTCGGGACAAGTGAGCAGGATGCTTTTCTTTCTCTTATATCACATCTCCAGAGTTTCATTATCACGACACAACGCCGAGTTCCACGAGTTTCCCTGCTGCTGTTCTGGAGAATACAGCCTCTACCAACTGAATACTCAATAGCAGCTAAAGTGAGTAAAAGTCCTGCAGTCAGGTAGTTCTGCAACATCAACGTGAAGTGAAAACAACGCACATATCAGAACCACACACGTGAAGTATCTGCAAACATAATGGCACCTTTAGCTAATCGATGCTAATAATACCGCAAAACTAAATTAGATCGAGTTCTCCGTCTCTTCCGGCAATTATCACATTGTGTTTGTGAAGCAGGCGGCAGTGACGGAGCAGGAGCTGAGGGGAGGCAGCAGGTCGGAAGGTTTGCCCCTGTGAGCGATTCCACTGAGGCGGGACTAATTCAAAGCACTGGTGCGGGCAGTGCACATTCCTGACTAACCATCTGCACACTGTACAAGATAAGGTTATTCTGGGCACAGCCTCCCCTCCTGTACTATTATTATTATTATTACACTCACACTGTTAAAATTAAACGACTTACTGAGTCATTCTCTGTCAAGTTTAGGTGAGGAGCAAACAAAGCTGAGGCGTTAACAAGCTCCAACGCTGACCGCCGGCGCAAAGAAGACGGAAGAAAATGTGCAATTCCCAACCGGCGAGCCAACGATGCCCACCTCTTCCACAAGTTTCTCACTTTTTTTTTTTTGGAAGCGCAAATTTACACTCGCAAAACAAACACGGTGTGATTGTTGACGGATTATAAAACTGGAAGGCTGTTTGCTGAGAGAAATGAGTTAAATCAGAGTTTCGGTTGGCTTGTTTAATCGTAAGTGGCAGATTAGAGGATCTTAGAGATGAAGCTATCTGCTGTGAAATAAATCTATAAAGTCTCAGAACTAATCTGAAACACAAACCAAGCAGTCTCTCTTCCCCGCTGCTCAACTTGACCTGCTTCTTCCCGCTGATCGAGTCCTACAACACAACGCAGGAATGTCACAGTACAACACTTTTCACTTACAGGCTGTGTTAGCTTGGCTTTTCCTCTTCTGGTATTTGACTGTTCTGTGATTTGGTTTGTCGTCTTGCCTATTTTTAGTGGTGTATTGCTTCTGGTGTCCTGAGGGAAGGACTCAAGACACGACGGCTACACCTCCTCGAAGGACCGGGCTGCTGCTTATCACAGATTACCCACTTGTTACGGTCCTTTTGTGAATTAGCCGGTAAAAAGTGCTGCTTTTTGTTCGGTTGAGTTTCAAGCTGTATTAAAGATAAAAGGCTGTAATCTAAAGCGGCCGACGCGAGCCGTACACCTGTGCCAATTACAGACGTGTGTCCTTCAAGCCACGGCAAAATTAATTTCACAAGGTGGAGACAGAAAGAACTAAAGCATCAAATGGGAACCGCAGTTCATTGCAGAGTCATGTTTTACTG